AATAAGGTTTGATACGAACAGGTTTGTACCGTCAACAGAGTTCACAACAACATGACAAGCTTGGGGATGAAAAATATTTTTCTTCTTTCAACTTGAGGAGAAGTGTTGAAGATGGCAGTTTAGAGTTCAATTAGTTTGTTAATAATTAAATAGACAGTTTCTGGTTATAGCTTGTTTAGTTCATGTGTATAAATACCCTATTCCTGTAAAGTAAAGTTATGGACAATAAACACAAAATTTCTTAAATTCCTTATTCTTTACACATTGAACCTGCGAAAGGAAATACGAACTCATCAAACACAATATGTCGAGATATGTAATTTTTTTTCTCCTGGAGCAAGACAGATATCCCTTGTGTATAGTACTAAAACTAAGGAATGTGTACAATTATGATCAGAACTCTAGCTTGTGTCTCTGAAACGGCCTCAAATGAGGAAAGCATTTACACCCAGACACTCGTAATAAACCATAATCTGACTGACGATCGAGCAACTTTTCATACGGGGATAACCCTCCTAAGACTTTTGTTGGCAGCACCAAAAACGCAAGGGCTACTTGAGTAAGGAAAGTTAGAGCCAACTCGATAATGTGACGAAGCTTTCTCTCAACAACGTCATTTTGTTTAGAAGTGTATGGACACGTGATTATATGCTTTATTCCCGCTTCAGAAAGAATCGAAGATAAGCTACGCTAATCTCCTCTCCAGTACTTTGAACTTCTTTAATTTATACTCCAAATTGTGTTTACATCATTTTCCGTTACAAGTTAAACGTTACAATTGCTTGTGAGTTGTGGCTTATCTTTCGAAAGAACAGCCAACTATGTCGTGTGTTAGCATCAATAAAGAAAACATATTTTTTGTAAGCGCAAAGGTGTCTGTCCCCACAAATCAGTATATATCAATTGGAAAGGTTTGTCGTATATAGTTTGTGAATTTTCAAATGGTAATGTATAGCTTTTTCCAACTTGACAAGCATTGCACAGCTTTGTTTTATTTTCACTCTTTACAACACTGGAAAAACAAACATTGCAATCTTTAAGAGCTCTCTCTAAGGTTTCATGGAAAGGATACCATGCCCCAATCTTCTATGCCAAGCTCATAGTATGAACAACATTTATTTCAGTGCTTCTGTTACTATTACCATCGTTTTATTGAATCTGTATAAACCACTGTATTCAGTACCACAAAATAAGATTTCATGAGAATCCTCATCATGAACCACAGTATTGCGCATGAAACTGGAAGTATCTGTAGCAAACTTCGATACGGAAATTAAATTTTTAGTAATTTGAAGAACATGTAACAAATCACGTAACTGCGATATAGGAGCATTAGAATTCACTTCCATGTGATCAAACAACTGTTACAAAATGTTTGAAGAGTCCGGGTAACATGATGCGTTGCCCGTGTCAAGAAATAACTGTTATCGTGAACCAGAAACAGTACTAGCCTGTGGGAGCACATATTTGCTAGTTGTATTCGACTGTTGTTCACCCTCTGTTCCTGCACAGCTACAAGCACATGTACTTGCATTAGTGTTAAGAGAACACATATTGACTGGACCTCATCAAGGGTTTTGCAAGAAGCCAAAATCTGAGAGCTTCAAATGACAGTTCCTATCTAGTCATATCAGGTTCACAAAATACACTACCTATGAATATAGTTTAACTGATGAATATAGTGTCAAGCGAAGTAATTGGCAATTAAAACTTCTAATTATTTTCATTTTTCTGTCTGTCTAATATTTTATGAGCATTATTGTTTTTATTTTAGAATTACTCGTATTTATTAATGAACAAATTTTAAAAATCACTATCATATGAAATGAATGAGATTTGTTGTGAAATAATTGAGGTAGGATCTGCAGTCTGCACTGGGTATTGCATTGACACGAGGAGGTATAAGATGTCGGATTCCCTTTGGTCCTTGGAAGTTGAAGAAAGATTAGGATCCCATAAATGGGCAGATATAAAGCAGAGCTACCCTGCCAAACTAATTTTAAGTTGAATTTAGAATTTTATTTCAACCATTTAAATTTAAATTTGAAAATAACATGATTCATGCAGTCCAAATTAGTTGAAACCAAAATAATTTATTTTTATCTATTTAGCACATTTAGAGAATGTCGAACTATTTGAAGTTGATTAATTAAGCTTCTTTAATCAGTAAAAGGAAAACTAAATTCTAGAACTCAATCGTAAACAAGATTATATGTGCTCAGACATTGAAATATTACTTTAATTTTAACCTTAAATTTTGATCAAGAAATTTAAAAGTTTAATTTTATCACTTCATTCGATGCTTCTGCACTTATCGACGCGTTCGCCATTGATGGTTTAGCATTGATCTCTCGTCTCTATCCAAGTCCAACTCACTAGAATGCCATTATTTCCAAAACCAGAAATATTAAGACCATCTCCACCGTTCCTCTCGTGCAACGTGGGTGGTCCAGATTATCCCAATTATAGATTGCTCAATGGTCCGATCTTCTCCATTTGTCCACGTCGCCGAATCAAGCTGGCCCACAAAATTATTGAAAATTATATTTACAGTCTTAGAAGAAGGTTATAGACAAAGGGACACTTGGAGTTTCCCCCAAGATTCAGAAATTATATAAAAAGAACACCCAAAGCTTTCTTTTATTACTTTTTTATAAGTTATTTTTAATTTAATTAGTCAAACTAACTTGTACTATTTATGATTAATATATTTGGGTTTAGTGGGGTTCGGATCTTTTCATTTTTCTTTCTATTATTTGGTACGTTAAAAAAACATTCTCATTAAAAAGCTTATATTTTCCATTAAGCTCAGATCTCATATTTTGGGGGTTCAAGTTCAACTTTGTTATGTTGAAACCATAGGTTTTGTTTAAACACATCAAAATGTTGGATTCCGCGTACACTTGATGACAAGAAACAAAGCTGTTCCTTTTTTCTGTAAAAAAGAAATGGTTTTTATTGCGTTTCTTAGTTAAAAACCGATAAAGATCAAATAGTTTTTGTTTTGATATGTCTTGACTCTTGATTGTTGAGTTTTATCGAGAACGTTAACATCCCAAATGTAGAAAAGGTTTCTAAATATAATTATAGAGAGATATACTAATTTGCTTTGTTGAAGTGTATTAGTTAATGTTTCCAGTTAAAGCTATATAGAAGCAATTTTGTTCACACTATTTTATCCATATTTTATTGGGGGACTAACATGAACTTCAACAACTTTGGAAGTAACCAACCGCTGTCAGTTGACGCCGGCGAAGGTAATTATCCGATAATTAGACAGCCATCAATCTATTCTCTGACCTTTGATGAGCTCCAAAGCACAATGGGTGGAATAGGTAAGGATTTCGGGTCAATGAACATGGATGAGTTGCTGAAGAACCTTTGGAGTGTTGAAGAAACTCAAACAATGGCTTCTTCCAGCGTTGGCGCAGAGGCAAATGGAGGGTTACAAAAGCAAGGGTCTTTGACTTTGCCAAGGACACTTAGCCAAAAAAATGTAGACGAAGTTTGGAAAGATATTTCAAAGGAGTTTTCAACAGGGAAAGACGAGAAGATTGGAAGTGGAGTTAATGATAATATGCCACAGAGGCAGCAAACTCTAGGGGACATTACTTTGGAAGAGTTTTTGGTGAGGGCTGGTGTGGTTCGAGAGGATAATACCCAACTTTCTGGGGTTGAGATTGAGTTTCAACGAGGAGCAAGAGGTCCAAATTTGATGGGGAACTGGCTTTCTAATGGTGGTAATCAGATTGGTATTCAGCCTTCCAATTTGGCTTTGAATGTTAACGGAGTTAGATCAAAGCAGCACAGGCAACCAATTCTCTTCCTCAGCAACATGGTTTGGAATATGGAATCCAAGGTGGAGGGATTGGTTTGGTTGGTTTAGGAGGGGCAGTTGACGTTTCCACTGGATCACCTGCCAACCAGCTTTCATCAGATGGGATTAGGAAGTGTAGTGGAGATACTTCCTCAGTTTCACCTCTTCCTTATGTGTTCAACGGGACTCCGAGGGCTAGGAAATCTACTACTGTCGAAAAGGCCGCTGAGAGGAGACAGGGAAGAATGATCAAGAATCGAGAATCCGCTGCTAGATCACGAGCTCTCAAGCAGGTGAACATGTTCTTCCTTCCATCAAATGTTTCCATCTCTATGCTTCTTTAATTCATCTTAGAGTAGAAGCACACAATTTAGTACTATGACTGTCGTACATCGAGAAATCGTGTTTAATTTGAACTCTGGTTTTAAAAACCTTTGTTACAACTTAGAAGGTAATGGAGCTTTTTAAGCTCCATCATATGAGGATCAATGAAACCATCTTTGTTACAATTTCTTACCCTTATTGCTTCACAACTAGGCTTATACAACGGCGTTGGAAGCAGAAATTGCAAAGCTAAAAGAGGAGAACCAAGAATTGGAGAAGAAACAGGTATGTTCTTTCCCTTTTTTGTTACAGTGCATTCAGTTCCTGGTATTACTAATTATGGGCTATGGAACACACATGCTTGCATTCTCAATATTCACTGTTCTGGGTTGCTTGCTGCAGGCACAGATGATGAAATTACAGAAAAATCAGGTACCGGAGAAATTTCCTTTTCCATCTCTTTTATTCGATTACAATTTATTTAAAGCCTACTCAAGTATCAATAAGAACCATCGTTCTTCACCAAGTTCCATAGTTTTTCTGTCAGATTCATTAAGTTTTTATCCATCACATTGTTTCACTTAACTGGTATGGTATGAATCTCTCATATAAAACAATACTGTTATTATAGTGTACGGTATGGAACTCCTTAAAATGATTATTCAATTAGCAATAATAATTGACTTGAATGAAAACTTGAATAGGACTAGAAAATCAGTGCCACTCTGAAATCTTTTCTTGCATTGTTTGACAACCACAGGACATGGAGATGATGAGTATGCAACAAGGAGCTAAGAAGCGATGCTTGATACGAACACAGACAGGTACATGGTGAATTTAAGTCGAGGGTGATCGTTCTTCCTGTATATTTCGGATAGATGATGAACTAATATGGTTTCGAAGGACTTTTTTTACTTTTACTTTACAATATGGCATTTTCCTTCGAAATGGAAATGAAACTATAAATTATCACTTTTACATTCTTTCTTACAAGTGATGGGATTGAAGAGTTCAAATAGGTTACAAATCTGTTTTCTCCAATCATTGCTGATATATATATATATATATTAATGGAATATGTCCTTGTAGTCATTCATGTTTACCAACATTAATCAGCATTATGAGGATCTTCATTGTTGTCATCAATCTCTTATAAGTTCGTGTTCGCGTAGCTGATGATCCGAGAGGGTCCCCAATCGAGCCGAATTAACATAATCCTGAGGGGAATGAGCTGACAATCCTGGTATTAGTAATCCGGTTACCCTCAAGATTCTTAGAAGCCAACCTTCCTTGTAGTCTGGACCATATATGCAAGGCAAAATGAAGCCCCTAATAAGCTCCCAAACTGCGTTCACCATCTTCGGCATCACCCATAGCAAAGAGAAGTAATTCTTGTTCGGTTCCTCCGGTAAAATCTGCACCACGGAAATTGTAAACAGAAATAGATAGATAGATATATAGATAGATTAAACTTTTTAGAAACCATATTTGGGGCTTACCTTACCAACGTAGAAACTGTTGAAGAAGAGGCAAGGGCCAAAATGCTTAAACAAGGTGTTTTTATCATCGTAAGGAACCCTGGGGACCATGTCATTGCTGTAAACATATCTGAAGTATTTGACGTCAAATTTCTTCATATTTTCCTTCATGTATTCCCCAAACAAGGCGTCACCGACCCTGGGTTGCCCAAAGGTGTAAACCCCATCCAATCTGTCCAACAACCATTTCTCTCCATGCAACATTAGCACCGAAGGAAACAAGATCGCCAATGCCCCACCCAAACTGTGACCAGTCAATATGAACTTGGCTTCATCGTTCTCTTTCAAAACCTCCCTCAGCTTCTCTCTAAGAGTGTAGTAAGCAAATTGGTGTTGGGCATTGTTGTCTTGTTCGATATCCTTGGGCCACCCATTGTTCTTTTGCAAGCCGAGAGCTTGCATGAAACCACTATGGGCCCTGGCGTTGCCCATGGCTTTAAGCTGGCACCAGGAAAGATCGGCGTCGGTTCGCCAGTCGTTGGCGTCGAATGGGCTGGTGCCTCTGAAGGCAACCACGAACAAGTTGGGATTTGCTTGTGTGTCTTGGAGGATGAAAGCTTGGGTGGAATCACGTTTTTTGTAATCTGTATGAATCAAAATGATCAGCATTTTTACAATTCACAGTACATGTTTATATTTCGTTTTCAAATGAATAATAAGAATGGGTTAGTTCAAATGTGGGCTCTCACGTCGTTTCGTGTATATATACTACTTTATATATTTTACATTAATTAATGTTTGACCAATTTAGTTAGCTTTAATTCGATTTTTTATGGTATAGTCAAGAGCGAAAGGCTATAGGTGGCATTGACAGTCGGCTCTAAGGTATTAATTATTTTAATCCTTAATTTTTTTTATAATTTTAAATTTCTTTAAATAAAGCTAAATATAACATAATAAAAACGTATTATTAACTTAATTTCAGTTATTTTGTTTTTATTAAATTCTGATATAAGTTATTTTATTATTTTTGATGCATACTAAAAAAAATTAAAATATTAAAATTTATAGTTAAAAGTTTATTTCAATGTTTTAATAAGGATAATGTAATTATTTTATATATTTTTAAAAATTTAATACTAAAAAAATGATAAAAAAATATCAACGTTATTATTCTATTATATTTATATCATTATATAAAAATAAAAATTTAATATAAAATGCAATAAAATTCTAAATATTATAATAACTAAACTAATAAAATTGAGAAAAGTCACTAAAAAGAAGAAACAGAGGAAGAAAACCTATTCAAGATCATATTATCTTATACAATTTGTTATACAATGTAATATACTTTTTCAAACTTGTCATAATATATATATATATATAACTTGTTATATTAGAAAATTGATTTTTTATTACCAGGATAAATTATTTGTAAATTAATTTTATTATTTTATTTATAACTTTCATAATATCTAGATAATCATTCTTATTTTATTTTAAATTAAATATTTTTATTAAAAGTATAAAAATTAAAACAATTCTCCATTGTTGTTGGGTTGAAAAGAACTTTTAACTTTTTTTTATTAGTTAAGGTGATTATAAAGTAATATTAGTTCTAAATACACTCAATCATTTAACAATAAATGTTCAATCACCCTATTACAATAGTTGATACTCAAACACTGACCTCAAGCAACAACAATAATTCCTTCAACTATTATGGTAGCTTAGTTCATGCACTTTAATTATTACCTTTTTATACTACTTCTAGAAAGTCTGATGATTTTTTTAAAAAAATATGATCAATTAATATAAAATGTTTAGTATTGATGTTAAAAATTAATTTTAAACAATTTTATAATCAAAACTAAAATTTAATTTTTACAACTTTTTAAAACTAATTTAAATACACTTTATATTAAAAAAAATTTAAATCTTTTTTATTTATTATTTTAATATTAAAAAAGTCTCGACTTCAAAAGTAATTTAAAAAGCAATAAAAATTTAACCCTAAATACTGAAGGTTACATATATAAGTTTCCAAGTTCCACTACGGCACTACCCCTATTTTCCTATATTTTCCTAGTTAAGGAAAACCCTAAACCAATAGACAACTGTTTTCCTTAATCATCGTCATTATCATTAATTATAAACTTCAAATTCTCGAAATTGACTTTAAACAACAGGGATGCTCGTTAACTTTCAATCCAAGTTAAGTTGACCATTACCAATGATTTAAAAATAAATCTATTAAAAAGAAACAGTTAAAAAAGACATGTTTCGTGAAGCAAACAAATCTAAATGTTTAATGATAATTTATAATTCTAAAATAGAAAGATATGAAACTTACCGTTCCAAAAATTATAAAACTTCACGAATTTCATCTGTTCCAATGAGAAGAAGAATCATAATAAGAGTTTTTTTTTTTTAAATAAAAATATTTCTTCTAGTTCGTATAAACATTTTATACGAATATTTCAAAAAATTCTATGCAACATAGATACATGAATTCTTTAACAAGTAAATGTACCTTCCAAAGTTGGGCGACTTTGGCTTCAATGAAGGCTTCATTCTCATAGGATATCTTGGAAGCCATTATAGACAGCGACGCTTTGTATTTTACGTCAACTGCTTTAATTTTTGGGTCTAATCCAGAGCGAATATCAGCGTTTCCTATGCACGAAGTAAATGTCGCCGATGATCTCTTAGGCCATTCTATTTCCCCTGCACCATTAAAACCAAGTCTCTGAATCCTTCCTTTTGGACCTTTTAATAAAAACAAGCTCAACTTCATTCAATAATATGGGGTTTAATGCAATCAAAGATTGGTTATATTAAAAATACAGGCAAAGTCAGGTCATCCCATTGATATAGTTTACCTTTTGCAAGATTTATTAGAAGATGATAGAGGCCACCGTTTGCAGATAAAAGATTTAGCCACAGCTCGATGGTATCCCCTATAAAGGCCATAGGTGTCGTTGCCCAAATGAGGAGTTTCTGAACAAGCACCGAGACGAAGATGGTCCATCGATCACGAAAGCTTCGACGTTGGCTCTCTCCAGACTTTATGAATCTTCTGTTTTCCATTTGATGCGACAAAAGCAGGCTAAGAAGATCAAACAAACTTGCCTTCTCTGGGTTCAGTAGAAAATAGTCACCGCTAAAATCTTCATGAAAAGCTGCCATGGCTTCCAAGGAGATTAAGTTGTTGTGTCACGATGCCTAAACTGAATATTAATTTGAGGGTAAGCAAGGAAATATTAGTAAGTATTTATAGAACTAGAAATGCTTAAGCTTGGATTAATATTTCTCCATTGTTGGGTTTCCTCGAAAACTCATATGGAGTAGCAGAGCTTTGAACAAATCATAGGGTCCTTCGCTAGGACTGAGTTGTCGTTGATTTTTGAATTGACTTGTAAATTATACATATATAACTTATCGTTGAACATCAACCTTTTTGTCAAAGACAAAAGTTTCTCCATCAGCATGGCTGCCACTAAGAAAGCCACCGGGATCGTTACTTTTTCCAATATGAGGAAAAAAAAAGGAACATTTGTTCTAAAAAAGACAAGAATTTTCATATAAGAAATCTAAAAATATGACGATATATACACTACCATTGGGATATTGTTTCTTCAAGTTTATACTAGTTTTAGAAAAGGTTAGCAACCAAAAGAAGGATTGATCACATAAAATAATTTTTAATTATCAGTAAAATCTGAAAATTTAGAACATTAATTAGTTTTTCTGTTACAACACATTAATTAGTTTAACAAACCATGATTTAGCTTTTTTATTAGCATATGATTAGATTATGACAAGAAACTTTATGTGTTAATATCAATATAGTCTTATTATTATTAAATTAATCAATTTATTTTCTCTATTGTAAGATCAATCCAAATTTACCTTATGTTTTTAAGTATATTATTTTAACTTCATACTGATAAAATAACCTAAATAAAATTAAAATTTTATTATTTAATATTTAACTTTTTCATTCACAATCAACTTCAAACAATAATCGATATTTTCTAAATAATGAAAAGATTAATTTCAACTAATTTTTATAATATTTTTCTTTTGGTAAGATGATACAGTTGCCAGTTCTCAGTGTCGTGGTACAAAGGTGGCGGCTGCCTGCCTAAACTATGATTTTAACATATAATTACAAGTTGAATGAATTCCACGCGGTTTTATATGTGATGGGACCAAACTTGACTTGCCTATGGAACGTTTTGGCGTATGTGTGTTTTTTGGTAAGATATTGGACCCGGTTCAGTGTTTGTTTACATAATGGAATGATTCTAATTAATTCGAACTATTTGATCCGTCGACCCGATTAAAAATTATCAGGTATTTATAATGGAAATATCCGAATTTTCGGGTTGGTACCTGCCCCGCTATTTTTCTCAAGTTCCCTGATCGAGTTTGGATCATAAAATTTCTCTTAACCGGATACTTGACTACCCGATACCCGATTTCTTTCTAATTTTATTTTAATTTTTTTTTTCAACAAAACACCCACACCTCGATTGTAATTACCAAATTAGTTATCCTAATTTCCCTCTTGCCAGTGGCCTTTCTTGTTGTTCTCTCACTCTCTCGTCTCAACCATTGTACAAATTTATCCTGAAAATAGCTAAATAATTGGTCTTTTGATTCCGGAAATATACACACATGGAAGCAAAATTTGGGAATATGAAACATGAGACAATAGATTAAGGGAAGTACGCAAATTATAACTTTCACTAATAAAATTCAAATCAAATTTTCTTTAAGCAATTAGCAAGTAGCAAATATCTTAAGACATACTATGGATACTTGGAAAAAATACTACAAAAAATCAAAAGAATTCAAAAGAAAGTTTTAAGACATTAAACCTTCACCATAGAATCATTCAATCAAAGAGAATAGATGTTGTCAACAAGATTTAAAATCAATCCAAATGTAAAATCTACCAAGAAAGAAAAAATATATATATCTAAATTTATGGAATTAAATTACTTAAATTGTAGTTCAAAGAAAGATGCGGAAGAATCCAATTTCAATCGAAAAGAACTACAGTAAGAGATTTTTTTTGAAAATAGGGTATTTTGTATTGAAGATATTACAAAATAATCATATCTCATTAAAAAAACTTCTTAAATTTATATGGAGGAAAAAGAGTTCGCATGGGTATAACCGAATAGCAGGAAAATTATACAACAACAATGGAACATAATATAATACAACCCACATCCCAGAGCTTAACTCCTAATCAACCAACCCGATCGGACATGGACATTAACTAACTAGAACAAAAACAATCACAGAGAAAAACATAGGCACACGGCAGCAGACTGCCTCAAAACTGAGGCATATACAATAACAAGCCACCTGGGCAGAAGCATACAACAGAAGGCGCAGCAGCAGAGTTCAGAATTAAGGACCACGAACGAAAGCTTCAGGGTTACACAAAATCGCACCACTAGAATCAACAACGTTCGCCCATCCCAATCGCAGCACACAGTTTAAAATAAATTTATTATTTTAATAAATATTAATTTTGATAAAAAACAACTTTAGGTTTGAGTTATCAAAAATTTGAGATGGGAAACGATTATGCGTGGAAAAAAATTAACACCACTATAACACCCTAAATCAATACTTAATTAATTAATTAGTTGTCTTTGTAATAAAATTATACATTCAAGTATAACTTAATTTGAATCCTTTTAAACACACGTAAAATAAGATAAAATTTAAATACATACATCAAACGAATACGATTAATTAATTATTTTACCAATTCTTAGAGAGAATAAAAATATTTAATTATTTAAAGACATCAAGACTAACCTTATATAATATAACAATATTTTTTCGACGAATTTAAAGAACATGATTTTTTTTCAATACTAAATTTTAAGTAAAATCAATTTTATTGTTTCGAGTGAAAGGATATCCTTTAAAGACTATTAAAAGCGACTTCTTGTTCCTTAAAATAATCCCTCCGTTCAATCTCAAAATAAACGAATATTCTTTGGTCAAATTATTTTAATAAGATTCTATTGATGCACGTGAGGATAACACATATCAATAAAAAATACTTGCGTCTTGTAAACACTAATTTTGTCCCACATGATGTACCAAGTCCCATTTTCGTCAAAACCATCGAATTGTAGATAAATCTGCACCAAAGTCAATAACTCACCTATCATTCACCAAATAACCAAATAAAGCAAGCAAGGAAAAAATGAAAAAAAAAAAGGATTAGGTGAAGAAAAAGAAATAAATCAAAAGGAAAAAATACAGTGAGGGAGGATTCGGTGTAAGGGGCTCGAATAGAAAAATACAAAGGGTTTTGAATAGAAAAAAATAGGGAGATTGGGGTTTCTAAAAAATTCCAGAAAAGAGAAATCAGAATGAAAAAATAGAAGATGAGAGACATACCTGAGTTTGGGTTCATCGGAGCCAAGTAAATCGAGAAGTTTTCCCTTAGATCTACGCTTTTCGGGTCTCCTTTTGGTTAAAAGAAGCCTGGATATATAACCGAGGTGAAAAGACGCGTCAACTGTGCCTTTTTCTCTCATCTCTGGCGTCGGCAGACGGCGGTGGACGCCGATCAGTGGCGACCGACGCGGCGGAGACTTCACCGGATTCTGGGTTTTCTTTGCTCTGTTTGTATTTCTATCTATCTCTCCTGTTATTTTAAAATGGGACAAATGAAAAATGAAGGGGAAATGGCTCATATTTGGGCTTAAATAATTAGTTCAAAAAGACCCCGTTTTTACCCTCAACTTCTGCGGGTTTTCAGAGTGCGGGTTAACTACGTATTAGTTCCTCTATACTTTGAAATAGCATGTTTTAGTCATATAACGAAGTTTTAATCTTTTTTCTTTGGAGCATTAATTTTTCAGAACTTATAATTTAGTACTGTTATTGTTTGTTATGTTATTTCCGTTAACATTTGACATTGGTCACTATATTTTTAAATATATTATTTTAGTCATTGGCTTGTGTATGGTTTAATTAATATTCAGTCCAACATGTTTAAGGTGTTTTATTTTACTCCCAATGTTATTTTTGGGTTATTTTGCTTTATAATACTCGTGTTGTTTAATATTTAACATTTATAATTTGGACTCTTGTTTATTTTGCATTTACTGTTTGATCCTTTAAGTTTCTGTAATTGTTGTCCTGGGACTTATTTTCTATTAATACTATTTTAGTCCTTTAATTTTCTATTTGTGTTATTCTGATCCTTAAAGTTTTTGTAATTATTGTTTTGTGATTTTAAGTTTATGTTTTTGCCATTTTAGTCTTTTAAATTTCTATTTGCGCTATTTTGGTATTTTAAATTTTTGTTTTTATTGTTTTAGTCTCTTAACTTTCTGTTTATGCTATTTTAATCATTAAAGTTCATGTTTTCAATATTTGATATCTTGTTAATGGATTGTCTATAATTAATTAATTTGAAGCAAATTAATTAATATTCAATAAATGAATCATATTTTAACTTGATATTTGATTCAGTATTTCTACCATTACGACAACGTGTAAGCGACACAATATCAATTTTGGGCGCTGTGGGGGTGCTAATCCTTCCCCACGCGTAACCGACTCCCGAACCTGTTTTAATCGAATCTTTGGTAAACGCAGACCAACTTTTGTCTTAAAAAAATGATTTTCTTAAAATTATTTTTAAAAGACGTTTTTAGGTATTCGACCTACTTAATCCAAAGGTTGATGGTGACTCTATCCGATTTTATCCAATTTAATTTAAAATCACCCATTTTCTAAAATTAAAAGTCGTAACCGTTTTCTAAAATAACATTTAATTGTTCCACCTAAAAATGGTTATGTCATGTCTAAACTAACATGTGAATGGAAATATCTAAGAATTTAGTGATTACATCTACATGCAGATTTAAACTTATTATAAATAATTAGTAAACATTTGTAAATTATTTACACATCAATATACTAATACTAGGAAAACAAAGGACGAAAATTATACAATTTATCACATGTAATGCAATATAAATAAATAAGTTATTTAAAAACAATACATACATATATAAATATAAATATAAATGGGTAAACATGATAAATTCTAAATGAAAATATACATATACTTAGACATATTTAATATACTACAACTTACATAAAAAAAATATATCAAAGCACATGAATTAAAACAAAACAATGTATGTATGTATGTATGTATATATAAACAGGGACTAAAATGTAACACGCATAGA